ATATCCAAATTTGAAAAAAATCGGTCCAGTAGTTTTGGAGGAAATGCGCGGACGGCGGACAGACAAAAAAATTTTTATTTGTTTTTCGAATTCTACGCATCCTGAAACGTGATACCTTAAATTTTGAGAGGGGGTTAAGCTTTTGAATTTTTTTATTGATCACAATGGTTGATTATTGAAAATAATAAACCAAAAATATTAATAGAAGCTTTTAGATAAGAGTACTTCAAATTAGTTAACATACTTTCTTACAAGAAAAATTGTCTTTCGGCGAAGATACTGATAATAAAGAAAATAAATTGATAAACTTGAATGTTATTCCTAATCGACAATACACCGGGGAGATATTATAAACAGAAATTGATAACATTATTTGGGGTGAACCGGGTCATCATCCGTGTTCCTGTATTCTCAGACTTCAAGGTAAGTTTTGTTGTAGAAAAGACACTTAATCAAAATGAAATGTAGATGTCAATTATTAAATAATTGTATGAATCCAAACAGTACCTACCTCAATTTTAGAATAAAATGTGTTTGGTAGTTAACTGGATAACTTTCTTGAAGCCCGATCGACTGGTAACCATGCATAAGTCAAGTTTGAGTTTTCAATACATTTTGAGTTTCAAGTGGGAACTAAGCAGTTTCTCTTAACCTCTGGTAAAGTTGTGAAAATTGAGTTTGGCGGTGTTTGAATTTAAAACGCGATATTACCCACATTTTGTGCCAGGAATCGTTTTTGTTTTCATTCAAAATTTCTTCAATTCAATGATCGATATTTTTATTTCGATTACACAATTGCAGAGTGAACGAGCCATCATGATTTTTATCGGAAAGTCTATTTTTTTTTACATTCACTTACCTGTATACATAATATATAGCAAGGGAAAATATTGCGATCGTGAAAATTTTTGAATATGAGTTTTCAACGGAAATACACGTTTTGAGGTATCCTAAATCCAAATAACCAAGTCCCACAAAACGGCTTTAACGATTTTGATTAAACTCGGTGTATCATTGTATAATTAAGTGGTCTTTAATACCATTCAGGTCTTATACCCATTGATGTCACTTTATAGAACATAAATGACCAATGTTCATATACGTAATAGGGATAATTTAAAAAAAAAAACTCTCTTTTGTCGACAGTAACTATAAAAAATGGCTAAATATGAAGTTTGAAAGAATATAATAATTGGAGACTGGAGAAAAATAGAAAAATACTTATCCAAGTTGAAAATGAATCTCCGGAAATAACAGTCAGAATGTATACGTATGTTGGAAAGCGGAGAATTTTAGAAAAAATAATATTAAATAAATAAAGTTGTAGAAGATAATGGAGAGTGAGTGATAAAAATTATATACATTATAATTTCCGAACTAACATTATTTAATCTAAAACACATGTTTCCAAGGAAATTTAATGAAATTTTCTTACTAAGTGTAAACTTTTAATTTTCTTCTAAGTAAAGTAAAAAAGAAATTAAAATCCACCAAATAAAGCAAATGCCATTGTTTACAATACTATTTCATTTTACTTGTGTGAAAGAAGAAGTGAAATATAATGTTTCATGGATATATTTATAACCTTAATTACATTTATTGTAGTTTAATAACTCTAGATATGATATTATATTTAAATAATTAGGTATCCATTGACGGTTTTTCCAAAGAAAAATTAAGTAACTTTTTAGAAAATTAAATTAGCGAATAATTTGATGAATTTTCCCTTTGTGAAATCCCAACGTTATTCACTTACAATTAGGGTGACAACTAATGACCTAACTATGGCAGGCCATGAAAATTTCGTAATATCATTTTAGTAAACTTTAAAATGGAAAATAACAGTTAAATAACTAATAGTCCTACAACCCATGACCATTCCAGATGAAGTAAATATTCAGATGTACTTTTAAATCTCTGTAGGAATATATGAGCCTTTCGGGTTGACTAACTCCAATTTCAACACTCTTTATTATTAATTTTAGTGATGTTTCTTATTGCAAAATTTATACCTTTATTCACAGTTCTGTATTTCAACACTGCAATCAGCTACTCTGGAATCAACGTACTCACTATCTGTATGGATATAATTTTGTCAACTAGAAATATCACTAAAATGACATTACTAAAAAATGTTGAAATTGGAGTTAGTCATTCTGTGAACTGAAAGGCTCAAAAACTGAAGTTATGTGGTTTATAAAAGCAGATGGAGAAACTAGATTTTTATTGCCTACCGTCAGTATAATAAATAGAATTTTTGTAATTGTAATGGTCTTAATGATTTGTAAGTTTTAAGCTATAGCTTCGTTTTAATGCACATCAAAACTAACGACAAATAACGAATATTATGAACATTGAAATATTCTATACAAAGATGAGTTTGCCTATGATACAAAGATGAATGGTAACTTCATATCGAGTTTTTACTGTGTTAAATCCATATAAAATAAGTGGGCTGAGAATTCAGTCAGGGATTGTAGTATAATTTTCGCAAAAACATATTACAAACACTGTATTTTTTTTTCTTTTTAATCGCTTGATGAGAATACGGACACATGAATACTGAAACAAAAAAATATTAAAATTATCTGGATAAAAAAAACTGCAATGGCCTCCAAAGATGGGTACCGTTTACACAACTTATGTGTATTTTACCAATTTGAGTTTTGAACAAACTTCTTAAAAATGAACGCCGAAATTTTTTGTTGATATCGCATTTTGAAATAGGTACCTAATCTGAAAGTGTAAGTTAAGAGTGAAATATTAAATTTGTTTATGAAACTATACTATACTACTTCCTTATGTAGTAAATAAAATAAAACAGTTATATAAATATAGTATAAAATATTAATTACTATATTCAATTTTTTTAATGACATATTTAAGAATAAGCTATTTGACAGACCCGTTATTTGAAATAAAGTCTTCATCCATCAAAGCCAAATCATAAATATTAATATCATAAATCTTTTGTACTCTGTCGGAAATATAATTATGTATTTACATATTTAAATGCCCGGAGATGGCCGACCCAGAAAGCGGAATGAAGACGAAACTCCGTGGAATACTCATCACTCATCCACCAAGCTAGTTTTTCTAACGGAACGCCGCTTAAAAAAATAAAGGCATTTGTAAACAAACGAGTCTTAGCGGTTCTTTCGCTTCCCTAGAACCTCAAGTCGGCACATTTTCTCATCATAGGAGGGTTTTTCCTCTGTCGATATGTCTTCTCTTCAATTTTTCACCTCGACTCTTTATTCATTATTATTTATATTTTTTCTTAGCCCTATAGCGTGCAGGGATGATACCAAAGCATTGAGGTGTGGGTGGGGCAGGGTTTCTGATACTGCAAAGGATGAAACGTAATGCTGTTAGGAAATTTAGTTGACTTATTAATATATATATATATATATATATATATATATATTTAAACAAAAAAAATGTACTAATACAACCAATGAAGTGTCTTGGGTTCAGTACTCTGTATGGGAGTATGTTTTTTGGTTAACAGTTGAGCAAGGACAGAGATCACGCTCAACCACCATGTTTTCACCCTCAATTAATTAATTAAGAGTACCTACTTATAGAGACTGGGTGTGACCCCGGAGGGTCTCCAGTCCCCTGGATCGATCCAACAAAAAAAGAACAAACAATCACCTCCCATCAGGACCTTGAGCTTTGGAAGTCAGAGCTCTACCCATTGAGTTACCCCACTCCCCATATATATACAAATATCACTATGAAAATATGTAATATTTTCCTATCGAGAAAAGATAAATTCATTTATGACCTAGGTAATGTAATATTGGCTTCACCTATAGTCATTTCAGTGCTCTAAGAAAATTTAGATGAACTAGATTTTTATTCGCCTAGAAATATTGACTGCTGTGGTAGGCATGAGAATTAGGAAAGTTGATCTTAATCTTGATGAGGACTAACTCAGTGTCTTTTAGACATAACTCCAAATATAAACGTTCAGTTTTAGAATTAACGGATGTCTTCCTATTATTAATATACATAAGACCAATTAACAATGACCCAGCTTTGGTAGTATACTGCAGTTTTTATTTTACGCTTTGAAATACTGATTAATTTCTGTAGCAGGCATGATAATTAGGAGAGTTCCTGGTGTAAAAGACTCTAGATCTTTTAGACATAACTCCCAATATAAAGAGTTAAATATTAGAATTAACGGTCTTTATTAATACGTATAAGAAATAGTGACTAGCGATTAAGAAACTTTTGTACCACACTGTGCATGCAAGAGAGCAAAATTGATGGATGCCAACACCCCGAATACGGAATATCTTAAACATTTATTATGTAGAAAAAAAAAATATTTTATAGTAATTAATTGCGTAAATATAACATACATAATTAATGTATACATTTTACAAATATTTCAAAGAAATAAATTTGGAATATGTTAAAAAAAACAAAAAAAAACTGTATTCCAGAAGCCATTGTACTAAAATATTAAAACTCAAATCTGCATTTGACTGGTTTGAAATGCTGTGCAAAACTAATAAATTAAACGAACTAAATATTTTTTTTCTGTTCTATAAATTCAGGTGTTGAAATAATAATATTCTAACAGGAGATAAAATGTTTTAAAAATTGCATACAAGAAAATAAGGTATATTCCTAAAATTTTGAGATAGATTCTTTTTATTTAAATTTAGTTAGCTTAACTGTCGAAACAATTTATTCGAAAAACTAATTTAAAAATAATTTTTTTTTTATTTATGAGTTCACATATTATGAAGCCTTGAGAAATATTCATTAGACTAAAACGCATATTTTTTTTTAAACACAACAATCTACATTCAAACCTCTTTTAACATTCAACGCATTTTTTATTTTCACGTGTTAATAAAATTTTAAACAATATATAACCGATAAAAATTATTTCATAATTAACAGGAAAATTTTTACGCAAATTTATTAATATTATTAATATTAAAATTTACAAAATAATTTATATTACAAATTAAAAGCATATGGCCACGAGATTACTCTACCCGAGACTTACCGCGGTCATTATAAGGAAGCTGGCCGATTTCCAAAAGCAAGCTATTAAAAAGTTGAAAATACTTTAGAGAACTCAGATGAGTTTGTTGACAATATTTTTCAAATTAAAACGGGATATATGATGATTCGAAGTGCATTTATTGTGAAAGTAATTACTTTATTTATTAAAGGAATGGAATGAAGTTTGAGCCTTAGTACGGGAATGAGTACATAACATAAATAATTCTGAAATTCTTAATCCTTTTAAACTTTTCAGCCTATTGTTTTTGTTGGTGTAACTTTTCTATACTTTTGTTTAATAATATATATTATCTAATTGTATCACTGCACGTTCGAAATATACTCGTAATTTAAATACTCACTTGACTCATATTACTTTTTAACTCTAACATGATGATTATAGGGGTGTGAAAAGCCTTAAAACCCATAAAAACGAAACAAACAAAAAAAGGTGGGTGGGAGAAAAAAGTTGAGACCACCAAAAAGCACTTTTACAATACCAACGTAATTTATATACAAAGTTTCTAGCCACTAACTTGAATTGGAGCGAATGCTGAAATGCACAACACTTAAAAAAATGAACTAAAAAAAAAAAAAAATCGCGTAATAAATGCTATGATATTTGGACGAAAATTACTCAAACTTTAAGGAATTATTTTTCCAAAAAGGGAACCATACAAACCAATTGCGGATATTGCCATGTAGCGAGGAAAAAATATAAATATATTTTTAGTCTCTGATGAAAATTCTCCTAATCGTGTAATAGGGGTTATGTCAGTTTTCTAACCAGCATCCACGCCTCCCTCTTCAATACAGTGCAACAGTAAATTATTTTCGAGTAAAATGTTGCTAAAAAAAGTTATTTATTATAGTGTTAAACATAGAACTATTACATTTAAACCCATTTAAAGGTAGAATCTAACCTTGAAAAATTATCTAAGACATGAATAAGGAAAAGATACAATACAACTCATATATCTTACTCAAAAGTGGTATACCAGAAATATTAAAACCGAAAATATTTGGTTTATCTAAAAACCTACAAAAAAACAAAAAAAACAACATAAAAAATGAAGAAACAAATCTATGACTGATTACGACATAAATCTCGAATGAGATAGTCACCACAAAAATACATTTTCATCCAAAAATAATAATAATAATAAAATAAGGATAAGTGAATTAGGAGGGATTATGACAGGAAAGTTTTTTTTTCCAAAGGTCGTATTTTATTGAAGTTAATTAATAAGGAAATCAGTGAAATCTCAAAAAAACAAAAAAAAAAAAACTATTTCATCTATTCTCCTCCTTCCTAACTTTCTCTAAAAAAATGTATAAAGAAAAAAATATTTTATGTTGTAGGCGAAGAGGATCATTTCATCCTTACCACGACCTTCATTAAAATTAACAGCTGCAAGTGTAAAAGTGAGTACTCAGTTGGGCTAGGTTTTTTGAAGATTGAAACTATTAATCATAATAATTCCATAATAATTATATGTATTTCAAATATTGAAAGTGATTATTCACACACACACACACACACACACACACACACACACACATATATATATATATATATATATATATAAATATTTTTTTTTTTTTTTTTTCACCAAACATGCTATCTGACTCTGTTTTCAAAATCCATAACCTGTAGTTCAAATAAAATTTCCACAATCACAAAAAAAAAAAAAAAAAAATCAAGATATTCAAATGCTTGAGGATCGAGATGAATTCATTTATTCATTCCTTGACCTCGAACTCACAAGCAGTTTTATGCTTAGCAAACGAAATTCAATAAAAAGTTTTACGATCCAAGAGCCCATAAATAAAATATTTAAAGTTATGTAGTGCAAACGTTTCTTAAAATAAATTATCACTCGTTCGATTTTGTTCTAGCCTGAAATAAAGGTTTTCTAAAAGAAACAATGTAAAGTTTTGAAATAAAAAACAAATTTTCAAATAATACAGACCCATAAATTTGATTTTATTCCAATGACATGATTTTATACAGAAATTTAGTAATTCAGCATTACTTATTTTTAGAAATTTTACTGTTATTGAAAATTTACTACAAAATCGTTCATTATTAAAAGTTAAACAATGGTGAGAAGAGTTATCTCAAATTTATTTAATGAGCTGATTAATAATTGTCAGTGATACAAGTAGAAATTACAAGGAAAAAATCTTTTGTTACATTAACAATGCGCTATTAAAATTGAAGAAGACAAGTTCATTGGTACGTTACACAATTTACTTTCCTTCTGAAATAAGATGACATGAGCAATTTAAATGTACTATTTCATAGATAAAGATTTACGTAAGAAAGGAGCACAATCGCTTTTTATAATGTTTTTTATTTTTAATTTTATTTTATAATGTTGACAATCTGAAAATATATTTGTTTGAATTATTTATTTGTAAATATAAACTAGAATAAAGACTCTTAAATCCAACAGTGATGGAAATGAATATACTCTTAAATAGTATAGCAAGTTTGTAAGAATGTAATTAAATTATTTATGTATATATTTTTATTCAGATTACATTGATGATTGACGTGGATTTTAAATATAACAAGAGGAAGCGGATATTTTAAATAATATTACAAAATATAAATAATGAAATTGTATGATTTAAAAATAACGCATTTTTTTTTTTTTGTTATAATATAAGTAACATATGACAACAAATTATACTACAATTATAATCTTATACTGTTATTAAGTCACATGGTCAGTAGTACATGATTGCCAATTTAAATATGATGAAATAAATACCTGACTAATGTAGAATATCCAATAGAATATATGCGGATATATCCTCAACTAAGATTCATTGGAATAATATAGAGTGGAGATAACACCAAGATCCGAACGAACGAGCGGGCACAAACTGAACGAAGCTCACCTGAAGCGGGCGCGGAGCGGACTGAGCGGACTCGGCAAGCTCCAGTCCTTGCTAGTGACATCAGCGACCTTGCCCCCTCCACTTCGTCTGTCTGCCTCCTCGCCCGTCGGCACCCCTCTCGTCCGGAGGGTGTCATCCGCTGCGTTCGGCTTCCGTCGGTTCGGTTAAAGATGAGAGGAAGATTAGATTGAGTACGGAGGGTAGGTAAGTATGGAAATTAAAAAAAATATATATAAATACTAATAAAAAAATTGAAGAAAATGAAAAAAAAAATATTATAATAAGGATATAAAAATATTATTTTTTTCCTCTTTCTCCTACTTTCCGGCAAATATTAAATTGTTCAGAAAAAACAACCGAAGCCTTTTATAAAGCATTCAACAAAAATATTACGATATCACATAGCTATTATATGATATATGTAATGTTATATTTACCTTACTTTAATGTAAAAATTTTTTTTTTGTCTATAAAAGATGTATTTGCGCCTGTCACTTATTGTTGACAATTAGCAAATGTGATGGCGATACATGAAATAATGACATGTCAGGCATGGGGGAGGAAAGTACCCAGCAGTACCTCTTCCCTAATTTGTTCCAATTACTTAAGTTGTTTAAGGAGAAAGATCTCTCATCCAACGCCTTTTTAGTCTCCTCCTCATGTTCTGGGGTATGTCAGCTGTGGCCATTTCTCTTATTACTCTGTTATTATGTCCATTTAAATTTTTGTAAAATCGTTGATAAAGGGTCGTTATATGTTGGTCAACTGTTGGAAAGTCGAGGTCAGTATGTAGAGTTTTGTTAGTCACGTACCAAGGTGCTTTTGTTATGAGTCGCAAGAATTTTGATTGGAACGTTTGAAGTTTTTTAGGAGGGTCTTTTCAGCGATGACGTATATTTGTACGTATAGGGTACGTCCATATGGGCTTAAGTAAGTATGTGTTGTATATTTAAAAGTAAAAAAAAACCTTGTAGGCCAGACCGGGTCTCATTCCAAGAAAATCGGTATTTAACTTAAACGAAAGATCAAATTCGAAATTATTAATTTATTAAAATCAGAGCTTATAATAAAATAGGCTTTAATAATTTATAAAGCTAAAAACTTTTGAATAACCTTTTAAATCATACCAGAACATATTATAGTTAAAATACATACATCAGTACAGTGTCCTATGACATTTTTTTAAAACATAAATTTGAAAAGTTATAAGTGTAAAGACTAAGTATCATTTTAAAAAATCTTCTTTAGGGATATCTGTAAACAATATATATAACAATATGTGACAAAAGTAATGTAGGACCCCTACATGGAAGGACATTTTCGAATCCATGGTTCCAGGGCCCGAAGGTCCATATGACTCGGTAAAAACCCTCAGAGGAAAGATATATATACATATTTATTACTATTTTATATATATTTTTTTTTTTTTTAGCTTGCTGGCTTTACAGACCTTGTTGAATTTTGGCCTCATCAAACAGTGATCTCCATCTTTGCTTATCTAGAGCAATTGCATGAGCCTCTGCAGCCACTTTGTAAATTTTGTCCATCCATTTGATTATTGGCCTCCCACGTGGTCTCTTGTCAACTATTAAGGCATCAATGTCGTATCGTATAGAGGCTTAGCTCGCCTTATTCATATCTGCTTATCTTGAGCTATTTCTTCTTAGTTATCTGCAAGCAGATCTATTTTAAGGAATTCATTGTTGCGTAGAGGATTCCTAATGGATTTCTTCGAGTTATATATCTCACCTATTTAAGCTCCTTAGCTCCATATCATAGGATATTGATTGATTAGTTTCTTTAAGCAGTTCTCTACTGCGTTAGTACTCTTCACACAAACTGGTGTGTTTATCGTGAGAAGGATATTTTTATTTTCCTACCTATACTACGTAAGGAAAGTATTGCGATCGGGTCAAATTTCCAATATGCGGTTTTCGACGGTTTTATACGTTTCAGAGCCCTCTGAGTCCGAAAAACACATTTTTAGCCATTGGTCTGTCTGTCTGTGCCAAGATTTTCTCGGGAAATAGTGAACCGATTGTGTTGCTTCTTTTTTTTGTATTTTGTAGGGTTTTGACTACTGATGCCAGTGACACAAATTGGGTGCTCCATGCGCAATAGCTGCTGCGCAATAAATGAAAAACATGTTTTTCTTTACACTGTAGTGCGAAAACGGTTCTAAAGATTATAATGAAATTTTCCTATAATGTTCCAATAATTATCCTTTCAATTTTTGTACGTAGTCTGAATTCCCTAAAAAAATTCAGGAAGAAAAAGTTATAAAGAAAAGAAAAATGTTTTGGGACCTAACTCGCTAACTATGTATTCTATGGTAAAATTTATAATAAAACTTCTGAAAGATTATTAAATTACCAAGAAAACAAAAAAAATCATCGCAATCGAATCAGTATTAGCGATGATACAGCGTGTTCTAATTTATTACTTTTCTACCTATACTAGGTAAGGAAAGTATTGTGAAAAAAGATAACTGAGTGAAAGTAAGAAAATCTGTTGCCCGCATCACACAAGCTTCACTATTACCTCTACTTTTAACAGAAATTGTTGTATGACAAAATCAGGCTATGGCAAAAAGTTTTTGATCAGCAATATTAAAGGGTATTGAAATTTTAACACTGACCTACCTTAAGCCAATTTACATTGCTTTAGTTTATCAAATAACTCGTACTCAAATCTTTTCTTTGATCAATTTTCAGGAAAATAAATCTAATTCAATTTTTGTTTGTTTCTTGATGGACATATGTAAAGATATAAAAACTTTTCTGAAATAGAAAGATGTGTGAGTGGACACACCAGATTTTTTTCTCTTAAATTTTTCATTGCCTCTTTGAAAGTTAATGAATAGTGTCCATTTCTCACAGCCGTAATTCAAAATTGAATTCATCATAGTTTTACACAACCTATACTTAAGATTTGTAGACATTTTTCGAATGTCTAACAGACTACAGTGACATTTAAGAAATAATTTTAATAACTTTTAAGAACTTCTATTTTGCACTTTGCCAACCTGTATTTTTAATTCAAATTCCGTTTTACTTGTACAAATTATTATATACATATGACTTATTTATATCTTGGACATTCAACTAATATGTATCTGATTTTTATGTTTTTTCAAACAGGATTTATGTTTTCTGCCACATTTTCGATACAGATGTTAGGTTAGTTTGACCCTATTGAAACGATTGATTCCTCCACCTATGGTTGACTGACAGGTGTATCCTATGGTAGTCGGAATTTATGGTAATAAGTATCAGGTAAAAGTATTAGTAGCAGGTAAGGAAAGGAAACCCAAGCTGTCAAAACCTATCTCTACTTTTTACCTACCTTTAATTAGCATGTTAAATTGTCCTTGAACCTCGGAACTATGGATGAAATAAATTTTTTTTTGTTTAAATAATTTTTCTAATTCGGAAAAAAATAAAACATTCCTAATGACAAACTCAGATGTGATCCGTTATTTCTCTTATTTTAGGTACATAAGTTTTCGATTGAAACGAGTAATGTATAAAAATATTAAACAAGGAACAACAATTATTAATAAAATTAATTATTATTACTGTTCTGCCGACTGTCTAAACTTCCAAGTTTTTGTCTGTTTTCAGATTCAAAGTCATAGAAAAAGTTTACCAAATTGGTTCAGTAGAGCTTCCACACCATTCCTATTTGATATTGAGAAACTTATGTTTCAGAGTCAATGATTTGTCGTCTTTATTTTTAAATAATTAACGGGATGAATGTTTTTTTAATAACAAGCTTGTCAAGGAGACTACATTCGCGCGTAACTAAGAAAAATTTGGTGGTCGAATAAAATAAAATTGTCATTGGTGAATATTTAGACAATTTCTCAACTTTCCTCCAGCTTCAAGTCAGATCAGAATGGTTTAATTCGAAATATAGTTAGGGTAAAGGCAGCTATTATTAACATATTAACAATTATTGATACTTCATAAAATAAGCGTTTAGGTTCATTTAGGATTTCATCTTGATACCCTTTCAAAGGCACCTTATTTCACAACCGCATTTTTTACTCATGTAATATCATACTACTCATACTCACGAGCACAATATGATGTTACGCTACTGTTTGCGCCAAAGATCGTATTTAATAATATTTTATGTCAATTCTATTTGTGCTAACTTTACATTGGTTAAAGGTAGCATATTGTAGTCTGAAACTGAAATAAATAGTGTTATACTAATGTAAATAGTATAGGGAAAATATTAAATTGTACCAATAAACCATAAAGACATAATTAGTTTTAATACTTTTTCGTAAAAAAAATCATTTTTACATAAGACTTTTTGCACTAACAGTAGCGATTATCGAGAAGATTTATTTTATAAATAAAACTGAAAAAATTAAGTGTAATTGACAATATGCAAGGTCGATGTCTAGCCCATAAAGCAAATCGAATTGTATTCTATTGGGTTGTCCGGAAAATAATGTAGGGTTTTGGTTTAAAACAAAAAAGAAATATTTACTACAGTTTTATTTAATCAAAATAGTCTTCACTACAATCAATATATTTCTGCAAATGTGTTGATAACTTGATAACCATTCCCTTGGAATAGAAGTTCCCATTTTTTAGAATTGATAAAATCCAAAAACGAATCTTTTAATTCCCTTTGTCCATTAAATTCTTTGTCTCGTAAATAGTGGTCCAGGTGTCTAAAAAAAGACAATCCGTAAAAAACCGGCGAGTAGGGCGGATGAGGCAGAATTTCATATCCTAGCACTAAGAGTTTTTTGTGATGTCACACGTGAGACATGAGGCTGGGCGTTGTCATGCAACAAATGGGCCCCCTCTGATTGATCAAAGATGGTTTCTTTATTACCAATTTCTGATGCGTTGCATTAATTTGGTAACATTACGATTTAGCATTGATTGCTTCTCCACGATTTAAGAACCTGCAGTCTATCAGGACTAATGAAGGCCACCAAATAATAACCACACCACCGTTTTCTGATGAGTTGAGAGCTTTGGGAAATGTTCTGCTGTTTCTCCTTTAACGAGCCAGTGTCCATAACGTTTAATGTTATCGTAAAGTATCCACATTCCATCCCAACTAACAATTCTGGACAGAAAAGGGTCGATTTGGTTTCGTTAAAGAAGTGTTGCACAATCTTCATAACGCCGTTTTGTAAGACGGTCGTATGATGTTTGTGGAA